AGCCCAGATCCAGCCGCGAGCCAAGATCCAGCCGCGAATCAAGATCCAGCCGCGAGCCAAGATCCAGGCCCCCACCGGAACTCACAACCACAAAACCCAAATGGAGGCCCTGCCAATGTGGAAGGGAATAGCCCCCTTCTCGGGCTCCCCTTCCCAAGAAAGCTGTGGATGATAGTGGAGGACGACGCCTTCACATCTGTGAGCTGGAACGATGCCGGAGACACCGTGGTCATCAAAGAAGATCTTTTCCAGAGGGAGGTTCTTCGCCGGAGGGGTGCTGACCAAATCTTCGAAACTGACAGCTTGAAGAGTTTCATCCGCCTGTTGAACCTCCACGGATTCAGCAAAATACGCCCCAGAGGCCCCTCGGTTTACCGTTCAGGGAAAAATAGGATAATGGTAAAGTAGAAAGCCCTCCCATTTCCCATGTTCTCTGTTATTGAACAGCTTCCTAGTTAACCAAAAATGATAAACCAAAAGGGTTTCATTTCTAAGGATAACTCTTCTTCACATGAGACAGTATTTACCAAAGATGAGAAAGTATAGACTTTCGCAGCAGAGGCCCCTCGGTTTACCGTTCAGGGAAAAATAGGATAATGGTAAAGTAGAAAGCCCTCCCATTTCCCATGTTCTCTGTTATTGAACAGCTTCCTAGTTAACCAAAAATGATAAACCAAAAGGGTTTCATTTCTAAGGATAACTCTTCTTCACATGAGACAGTATTTACCAAAGATGAGAAAGTATAGACTTTCGCAGGGACCTATAACTCCCTTAGAGGTAACCTGCAGGGCGGCTAAAGACTCAGAGGCCAGTTAATGTCAAATAGATATATTTTCTCCCAGAATGACTAAAATGATTAATTTTGTTTCAGATCTATCGTAATTCCAACTTCCAGAGGGATAAACCTCAGCTCATCGATAACATCAAGAGAAAGGGCCACCTGATGATCACCGCTTTGCCAGGAACCAGCTCAACTCCAAAGAAAAAGAAGGAAGTGGCGGCCCCTACAAGACGCTCTCTACGAATCCAACTCAAGCAACGCAGCAAAGGCGGCAATGCAAGGGCCCAGAAGACAGACCCAAATGTTCAGGGATCCAGTGGCACCCGGTCATTCACATTGCCTAGTTATGTGTCTTTTGACAATAGGGCTAGACGTGCCAGGGAAGAACCTTACTCTAGTGAGCCAGCTGGCCCTAGTGGGGAGGGCACATCCAGGAATGTCAGGCTTGCGCCCACGGCTACTGCCACAAGGGATGGCGCAGGGGAAGAGCCCACAGGGCCCCCAGACTTCAATTCGGTGATGTCTCTGTACAACACCTGTTACTCCATGCTGATGGCTGCCCTTTCAGCCACGGCCCCAACTGATGCACCTGAGGGGCAGGCAGAGGAGGAGGAGCAGGTAGAGGAGGAGAACTCCTCAGATTACAAGTGTGCACTCTGTGAGCAGTTCAAGGACAAAACAGGTCCCTAAGCTCACAGGCCGCTGGTAATAGATAAGTCACCACTTTTAACCATGAATGTATTTTCAGCTTTAATAAAAAGCAAGGCTTGATGAGAATAAATAAACAATTCAATGAGAACTGTGAGTCTGTGTTCCTTGTTTCCATGCTGCACACACCTCATCAGATGACCCCGAGGAGGCTGGAAATCCCAGCCCAACACAGGGTTTGGTGCCTGTTATCCTCTGCAATCTGAAGTGGCAGCAATTTCGCATGCACAGCCAAAGGTCTGGCTAGGGAGTTCTAAGGCGAGCCCAGGAACACCTGGTCTCCTGAGCCTTACCTGCTGGACAGGAGACAGAACAGTCTGGCTCCTGACCTTGGGGGAATCACCTTACATTATCCATGTATCTTGAAACAGGAGTGTCTTTCCTCATCGTCCCCTTGTGATGCCACGAAATTCCTGATCAGCAGCCTAGCCTCTCTAGCTCAAGTTCCAGGGGACTTCCAGAGAGGTCCACCCAAAACTAGGGCCACCCCATCTGCCAAGGGGTGTATAACTACAGCAGTGTGGCTCAGAATCCACGCCATTCTGGTCAATGCCTGGGAGAAAGCCCATCAAAGGGTGTATAACTACGGCAGTGTGGCTCAGAATCCACGCCATTCCGGTCAATGCCTGGGAGAAAGCCCATCACGCGCCGCACCCCCCCCCCTCCGCCAGCTAACAACCACTACTAACTTTGCTAAGCAGTGACCCAAATAAAAGGTTGCCCGCAAAACAAACAACACTACTCAACACTTTCCCATCAGAGCTGTATTTCAGAACCTTTCTTTGGTCACGATGTAGCTGTGTGACATGTGTAACACACGGCTTCCGGAGCCAAGGGAGACTTTTACAACAGGGTAAGAGACACTTGCTGGGACAGACAGGTGCTGTTTCCAAGTCTGATGGCCCCTTCATGGTGAATGAGGCCATCCCTGTCGGGTTGCCCTCAGGCAATCGTTTGGTGCCCACTCCCAGCCCTCCCACGACACTCCCTGGGTGCTGCTGAAACATTCTAAAAGTTTGACCAGAACATGGGGTGGGGAATCGTGCAAGGGAGCCCAGAGCCCTGACCGCTTCTCTTAAAACATATTTCTTTGTACAACCTGGGAACCGGCAGGGCCAAAATGAGTGGCAACGCCAAGACATTTGGTGGCAGTTTTCTCTTTTTCCTAAAGATCCAAGCCATTGAGACTGTCAAGGAGCCCAGAGGGGCAGCTCACGAGGGAAGTGCCCTGCATCTGCGTGCAGAAAGCTGTTCACAGAACAGCGCATGGCGGGGAGTGCTCGCCACAGTCGTGCCACTTCAGGCTGAACCTATAGGTCAGCCTGATCTATAGGTCCGCGGCATGACGGCGAGTTCACGGTCATCCTTCCGCTCGGTTTTTGGTACCCTTCCTCTGAGGAGCCCTCGCTCATCAGAGCTCCTGCCCCAAGGGGATGAAGTGCTCTGGGATGTCGACCTGGAAGACATCCTTTCCGCCTTTCCTGGGTATGGGCTCCAGGAGCCACCTGGGGTTTGAAAGCGCAGTCAGGTACTTCTGCCTCAGGTCGGTCAGTAGAGCTTGATTTTCCAGCTCCACCACCTCATCGGGAGCTAAGTTTTCCGGGCACTGCCAAGTTTCCCCAATGTCAACGAGCCCTGGGCACCAAGAGAGAAGCATACAGATGTTTTTCCTTCCATGAAGCAAGGCCTGCCTGTGACAGAACACGGGCATTCAAAGTCACAACCGCCAGAGACTGAGCTGACGTCACCAAATGGACACGGAAGGAATTGGGTCCCTCTGAATGACCACTCCGATGTCCCAAACTCCATTCAGGGAATTCTGGGTGAAGCCAAGGGAGGGAGAGGAATGAAGAGGAGAGGGCCTTGTCCTCGGCAGCGCCACCCAGGTATGGGCAGGTCGCAGCTGGACTGCTGAGGGCAACATGTACAGGTCAGGAGGGCCCGGCCGCCGCGGGGAACCCACGGACAATCAGATCCCCAAGCACTAAGCTAATGTGGGGCCTCAAGCACTGAAGGGTGAGGGGACTTGCCTAGGATGCGATGGGCATTGGGGGTGGGGCCAGTGCGTGAAGTCAGGCAGGCCGCCCTGTCTGGAGGCCACCTGACCCTGTGTGCTGTGCAGCCTCTCGTGGTCTGTACTGACACACACGTGTGTGTACACACATATAGACAGACGTGGACCTGCCCCTGCCTCTCAGACCACCAGCGGGAACTGAGGCCCTCAGTGGAGAAAGGGTTCACCCAAAGTCAGAGGAACTCAGCCCACCAACCCCCAGCCGGGGATCCCTTGCTGTCCCTTTGAAGTTGTGCTGTTTAAAGAAATGATAGCCCCGCCCCAACAAGTTCAAGAGCAAACAAGCCCCAAAACTCCCAGCGTGGTCCCGGGGGTGCCCGTGGGGGTATCTTAGCAGTGCTCAGGGGATCGTCACTTGCCAGCTATCACTCCACGGCCATACTTCTCCCCTTGCCGAAGCAAGGCCTGAACCTGAGCGGAGGTCCGCCCCAGCCTCTCCAGCAGCAGCTCCCTCCAGGCAGTGTCTTCCCAGTCCCTGTGAGCAATGTGGATGGCGATGGTGCAGTGCCGGTGGTTGCTCAGCAGGGGGCGCCAACGCGTCTCCAAGGTCTTGACCCCATTTAAGACAAAGCCCGCGTAAGGCTGCCGGAAGGAGAGGCACGAGAATTTCATCTTGTGGCCTCAGGTGGCCTGCGGAAACACAGAAGCACCAAGGTCAATAAGCATCAATGCCATTCCTCTGTGCTCAAGCCCCAGGGCTGACTGCTCTCCAAGCTT